CCCCCTCCTCCGTAAGAAGTACTGTAAGGAGGGAGTAATATTGCTAAATATTTGGGATTTAAGTGAAAGCAAACATAAATTTTGGTGTTCTCCAGTTTCAATACAGGAAAATAAGATTTATAGGGTTTTTGGCTCCTCCACCCCCCTTGTAGAAGTTTTGGGTGCGACTTCCCCCTTTCTCCCTATGTTTGCCCTGTGAACAGAAAAAATGTATTCTTTAAAGCTGTCGTCTTATTGGTTATTTTATCCGATGTCGTCTTCTTGTAAACTTTCCTTAAATATCGTCTTCCAATAATCCCTCTGGGGAAAGTATTCTGCAAAAATCAGCTGGAATCCCCCCCCCCTCTCTCTTCAAGTTCAGTATTCAGTATTCAGTAAACACAAATATATCTAAAGAACTAGACATGTTTAAAGTGCACAGTATGTGAAGGAAATTGATCAAGATTCAAGAAATATTTTAAGTCATTGTTATTTTACTGTTTTTATTCAACGTGACTTTTAACAAAGTTAATTTGATTAGTTTTTATTTACAACATTTTGTTATTAATTATGAGTTCTATAAGTCTTAGCTAAAATCAACAAAATAATAATTGTTTCATTTTTATTTTATCGTTAATAATTACTTGTTCAAAAGATTGGAAAAGAATCCTAATCATTTATTGAGAAGTACATGTTTTTGATAAATGTGATTGTGACAGATATTCTTGAACGTATGATTAAAACTTCTTAATATACCACTTCGCAAAAGGCATTTAAAAGACACCTACAACATAATCTTATCTAATTATATATTTAATGGTAAATTAAGTTAAATCTCTGTTTTGTAGAAAAATGCACTATTATAAAATGTAGAAAGGCCAACTTTTATCATTAAAGCATGTTGCCCGCGTGAACTGATTGAAGATCTTCATGTTTTTAATCTTTAGTCAGTACATATACAATCACTGTTCAAAATGTCGACTGTTCGGGAATGGAGTACAGAAACATTGATTGCGGACCACAGGTACTGCACAATACAATACAGTACAGGAGCTGTAAAACACACTAGGTTCAGTACAAAACAGGTACAGTGCAATGAAGCACACGGCCCCTGGGTACAATAAAGTTAATGTAAAACATCCGTACGGTACAGTAAAGGACATTGACGGTACAATACAGGTACGGTTTAATGCAGAAAGGTACAATCCAGTTACTGTACAGTACAACCGGTACAGTAAAGCCACGGTGTAGTACAGCCGTGTTAGAGTACAACTAGTTGCAGAACGATAGTTCATGCAAAAATCAATGTTTAGTGATAATGATCAATGACCAGTAAACTTATCAATCATAAAATTTTCCTATTCTTGATCAGTTGATTTGTTCTAGAGAACTACAGTGTACATCTCTCTCTGTATCTCCTGGGGGGGATTTGGTTGCTCTCAGTGGAAGAAAACATCTAGCTCTCCTCAGTCTGACCGACCCTACCCAGGTAGTATCCAGGACAGTGTCTAGGGTATACTCGGATAACGACCCAACCAAGGGACTGTACACTGTTAAGACCGGTTCATTTCAAGAACTGGGCCGACATTTAACCAGCTAGAGAGCTGTACACATACAGATTATACCAGACAAAACGCAGTAGGTATAAAAAGCCTTTTTTTTCAAAAAAAGGTTAGGCCATATTTTTTCTTAAATGTTGCGAAAAAGCTTTGAAACTGAAAAGTGTTTTAAAATAGTTAAGCAAAAGAAATTGTTATTATTTAAATAAAAACTAAAATTATAATCTCAAGAAAGATTTGTAAATTCAAATTATCATCTACATTTTTCTGTGTAAAAATTAAAAACGGTAAGTAGTTTTATGAACACGACAAAACGTGACAATGTACACCAAATGAACCAATAGACGAAATTTCAAGTAGCCCTCCATTAATAGTGACGAGAAGGTCAATTTTTTTTAAAGTGCCTTTATTCTCAAACTAAATTTCGTCCTGTCTTTTCCTGTGCTTTGCTTAGGATTCCCTGTTTTTAAAACATATTTTATGTTTGACGTAACTTCAAAATTGGGTTATCATTTTAATTTTTCAATTTTAAATAACCCCAAAAAACAAGATTTTGAATTCGGAAGAAAACCAAAAGAACACCCTGTAATTTAGTTTTGAATCAATGAAATTGTCATTTTTTTACTAGAAAAAATTTAAAGACATGTTTGGAAACTTTTTTTAAAGATCTAAATAACTAAAACATGAAAAGTAAAGCTTTGAAGATAATAAAATAATTATGAATTACCAAAGTTTTTTAGATTTTCATGTTTTACACCCTGTGCAAAAAAAAATTTAATTGAATATCGTTTTTTCATGAGTACAATCAAGTTTTGTTATGACAAAATCCTTCTAAAACAACTTCACTATAATTTAATGGTCTCGTCACTAATGGGTTAAAGAACTGTCGTCGATCCGATAATGATTGAGTTATCCTTTTTTTCATCTATATCGGACAAGTAATGTTTTAATTTGAGATGAAAGTACAGGTCCCTTTAAACTGTACAATATCACATAAACTGTACATGTCCCGTTAAGCTGTACAATATCACATAAACTGTACAGGTCCCTTTAAACTGTACAATATCACATAAACTGTACATGTCCCTTTAAACTGTACAATATCACATAAACTGTACAGGTCCCTTTAAACTGTACAATATCACATAAACTGTACATGTCCCTTTAAGCTGTACAATATCACATAAACTGTACAGTGTTCACAATAAACTATTCTTTAACTGTACAGGTATTGAAACAGATGTGTAGGGGAACAAGATGGAATTGTACAAAACTAGCCTGGAATCCATCCCAGTATTTCAGTAATTATATTCTCCTTGCTACTAATGATAAAATAGGTCAGTCTCTTAACATAAAATAGTTTACAAAAATTTAAACATAAATTTCAGAACTGTTTTTAACTTAAAGAAAACCTTTGGTATTTCACGGACAGACTAAGTTGTTGAATCTATATTTTCTAATTTAGAAGTGTACACTATAAACCAAACTACAATAGAACCTCTAGATCCTATCCGAGGACATTGCAGGTATACATCATTAGACATCCTGGATCTTTTATTGGTCAAATTGGTTCCAGAAACTGAAAATCTCACTATAACTAGAAGCTGTCAGAGTTTAGTCCGAAAATCCTGCCTTCAAAACTGATTTTTAGAAACAATCTTCACCTATGAAATCTTTATATCCAGGGCTACAAAAACAATATGAGTTGGTTGGTCAAACAAGGTTCATAATTGTGTTCATCGCTGTAATTGCTTTGAAAAGACCTGCGTAGTGAGTCTTTCCCACAAACTCAAATTTGCTAATTCCAATATCTTTGCAACCTAATGATGCAATCCCTTAATATTTAAAATTTAGATTATTTAATCTTATAGAATTCATAGTTTGAAATATTCAAGGTCTCCGACATTGGGTTGCAAAGATGTTTGTATTAAAAAATCAGAGTTTGTGGCAAAAACTCAATTTCTTTGTTTTGACCATTTTTCGAGAGAAAAGTTTCACAAACAAATTAAACACATTCGAATTTTTTACTTATTAATTATATTTTAAAATGCTTCAACATATACAATATGTAAAGGTTTATTCTCGTAGTTAAGAGTTCTTGTAAAATCGGAATTTTATATTCATCCACCAAAGTGATAGCAAAATTGAATTCTTTCTTGAAGGGACTGTAGACATCATTTTTAGTGAGCCTCCATATTTAGTGACAGGATGATTTAAGGCGGTCCCTTAAAAACTATGTCTGATCAAGTATCCATGACATATCCATTATCCATTTGAAAAATTGTTGTTTCACTTAAAAATGAAGCAGTGGAGATAATTGCCAGAATTTGACAAAAATATTTTGGATTAAAAAAAGGTTTAAAACCAACCATGATGACTCGGGCATGGCGGTATAGTTCTCTATTTTGTTTAAAAGAATTTTAATTGAAATTACAAAGACCGCCCCTTCCCCGGCTTAAATCTAAAGTATGTATTTTTCAGGCAAATCTCTGATATATGTTTGAGTGTCCTCGATGGGAGGATGGTTGGATCAACGGATGGGAATGGATCAATCCATGTTTGGGATATCAGGGATTACAGGAGACCAAGCATATCCTTCCAAACAATGGTAAATATATGTCTTTTAAAGTTTAATTATCAAACGTTTTAATCAATCTATTCAACCATTTTCCAAATGTTTAAAAAAACACGAAATTAAAATTTCTAAAATTGAAAATTTAATAACTTTAAAATTTATTTTTTTGACCGGTTTCTTAATTTGTTTAAATGATTTTATAGCTACAACAACTAAGTACGTGGGATCGAGAGACACAGCTTGCTGGGATAAGCTTTAAATATAGAAAATAATATTCCAACCTTGGAACCATTTGAAATTTTGTCAAATAAAACTAGAGTTATTAAATGTTTGAACTGACAGATTAAACTTTTATTCACTGAATATAAAATATATACATCAAATATTTCATTTGGATTTTTAAAATCATGAATTTGGTTAATTTACAGCAAGAATGTAAGGCAAGGAAAGTCAATTGCGGTTGTGTATACTCTGTGTACATATTGAAACCAGTTCTCTTTGGGGGGAATTTGTAAACAATAATAGATGCATCAGTGTTTGTCAAGTATCCGAGGAGGTTAAAAGCATTAAATTTTGATAACTTTGATAATTCACATAATAGTTTCCTATGACCAGAATATTTCATTGATTTTTTATGTGAATGATGGATCCCATGTCAGGCTTCGACATCCGTCTTGTGTTTACATTAGCGCCCAGAGACAGTACACTGCAGTACTAAAGATGTGTACACTTCTGGAATGACTTTCCTTGCCTTACATCCTTGATTTACAGTATCGACATAAATAAAGTATTTGAGTGCCCTAGGTCGGTAAATCATATATATTCTTAGAAAAAAAACACAAATAATAGAAGTCGTCTTTTCAAAATTTAGGAAATTTCGTTGACAATAACCCTGAGACAGAAGCCCAAAGCAGTTAAGCGCAGGCAGCGTTTATTTACCAGGCAGAGAGAGAGCATCGCTGCCTGTGCGAAACTTCTTTGGACTTCCGCCTCTAGGTATTGTGAACGAAAAACCACTAAATCTTGAAAAAACGACATCATAGCATCTATCTGTATTGCTATCACTCTAAGCCAATCTCATTACGTAAAACGTGTACTGTGGTTTGTACACATAGTTTGTTTACATTTCTCTAGAAACGTACACTTTATATGTAAACAAAGATATACCTAGGGTAGATAGATCAGCTATTTTACTATTCGAAATATAACTTTTTTTAAATTCATTATTTTAATTTTGTTTCTTCGATCTCTAAATAGGTAGCTACAGATATGTATTCATTACTAATTTAACGGAAACAATATTTTGATACTGAACAAGCTGTGATTTCACAATTTGACCATTTAAATATACTTCTTTTCTCTTTTTCTCTTTTATTCTTTTTTTGTCAGCTAAAAGCATAACAAATTCTGTAAGTTTAGAACGTGTTAAATTATAGACATAACTGCGATAAAATTTGATTTGAAGAAACCTAACGTATCTATGACCATGGGGTCAGTCCATGGTCCAATATTTCTCTTATCTAACGTATCTATGACGATGGGGTCAGTCCAGGGTCCAATATTTCTCTTATCTATCTAGATTGGAGCAAACCAAATTCAATGGAGCAGAGCAAATGTCAATCTATTGGCGGGAGCTCATGAAGGAGATATTAAACTTTGGGATACACGACATCCTTCATCTTTTATAGTATCCAGTACACCACACACTTCCAGGTAGTGTATCCAGTACACGACATCCTTCATCTTTTATAGTATCCAGTACACCACACACTTCCAGGTAGTGTATCCAGTACACGACATCCTTAATCTTTTATAGTATCCAGTACACCACACACTTCCAGGTAATGAATCTAGTACACGACATCCTTCATCTTTTATAGTATCCAGTACACCACACACTTCCAGTTATTGTATCCAGTACACCACACACTTCCAGGTATAGTATCCAGTACACCACGCACTTCCAGGTATTGTTTGCAGTACACCACTCACTTCCAGGTATTGTATCCAATACAGCAACACACTTCCAATCATTGTATCCAGTACACCTCACACTTCCATGTATTGTATCCAGTACACCACACACTTCCAGGTATAGTATCCAATACACCAACACACTTCCAGGTATTGTTTACATTACACCACACACTTCCAGGTATTGTATCCAGTACACCACACACTTTCAGGTATTGTATCCAGTGCACTACACACTTCCAGTTATTGTATCCAGTACACCACACACTTCCAGGTATTGACTATGTCCAAGTTTCCGAAAATCTTAGATTTCCAAAGTGTTTTTTTTTTGTCCATTTTCTTCCAGGTTGAATCCTTAAATCAAAGCAGTATATACCCTCCTCACTTCAAAGTAGTTGTATCCAATATCCAGACAAACCTTGGGAATATATCCAGATATTAGTTGTTTATCTAGGATCCAAAGTGTAGACTGGATGAGCGGACAGAATAGCTTAATAACCTCGAGTTCGGATTGTACTGTCAAATTACACACACTCTCAGGGATCAAACATGTAGCAACCAGAACCATTGAATTTCAATTGGACGTTGAAATCCAATTAATTTCTAAATTCGGCAAAATTTTGTAGAACTCGTAAAATTCCTCAAATAGGAAATTTTCCTAAAATTCTTAGTTTAAATTGTCAAAATTTATATTCTGAGTTTAAGAAATTAGTTGTTTTTTAATTTATACCCTATGATATATTAATAAAAATGTTTTATAAAATTTTTAAATATATCACAATTCAAATACTCCAATTCATTTCCTTTGTAAAAGAATTTAAAATCCGAATTTTTAAAGATTTTTATTTTAAGTTTCAATCAGAATTTTTTTCTATATTGTGTATGTTAAAGATATATTAATTATAAATGGTTTTTCAAAAATTTTAAATGTATTAAAACCCAAATCCTCCAAGTTTATTCCTCTGTTAAAAGATCAAAAATTCTAATTCTTTAGATTTTTCTTCTTAGTTTGAATCAGATTTTGATTTATCAATAGTAAATATTTTTTTTATTTTCAAATATCAGCCAAATCTTTAAATTATTATTCTTTGTAAAAGGGTTTAAAATCTTGAGGTTTGTTAAAATCTGCGGAATTTAAACTCTAGTTTATTGATGGAATATCGGAAATCCCCGAAATTTGCTCTGGGTTTGACAAGTTTGACCTCGGTTTAGAAGAATCTGGTTTACAGACAGCAGGAACTCAACTTATTCACAGAAACTTTCAAACATCATTAATTTCCATCTCTATGTGGACATTTCAGAAAAACTGACATCTTACATTATATCCACTTCACATTACCCTGACAAGAGTTAGAATAAAGTTTTATTTTAATTTCCTTTTTTATTTGAAATATTCTTTTGAATTCTTTCTGGGAGGGTTACAATTTTAAAAGCTCTCCTGAAGTCAAATTTTACTAAGTTGTTTTATGAATATTAATAAAATCGTGTCAACTAACAACAATGTGAAAATAAGGTAATTCCTGAAACAAATTAATGGAATATTTCAAAATCAAATATTTTCATAAATATGAACTGGTCAAAATAGAAATTTGTTTTTGAAAATCTGAAAGACAACTAATTAGTTAATTTTGAATATTTAGCAGTTTTGAAACATAGTCCATATAACATAGTCCATATGGTTTTAAGCAAGAGAAACACCGCCATGGATGTCATTAACAAATGTAGTTTAAAATTTATCCTTTAAAAAAACCTAGTTTTTTTTATGCGCATCTTCCCAATTTTCTGAAATAAATAGATCTAAAATGTGAAACGTATTGAGTTAATCAGAAAACGGACTAAAGACATCAATTCCAGTTTGGAGAGCAAAATTTACTCCATTCGGAGAAGGTTAGGTTTTAATACAGATTTTTTCTTATAGACTTATTCTTATAATGTAGTCCTTATCCTTATCTTATCCATGGTTTTCATACTGGGCCTCGTTCTTATACTAGTTCGTGTACGTCCTAATTCTGGTCCTTTTTCTTATTCTAGTTCATGTCCTGATTCTTGTGCTTGTCCTTATTCTAATCCTTGTCTTTATATTTGGCATTGTCATCTTCCTAGTCTTAAACCAAGTACTTTTCTTTGTACTTTCATAATCCTATTCCTTGTCCTAATCCTAATCCTATTCCTTGTCCAAATCCTAATCCTAATCCTTATCCTTATCCTTATCCTAATTCTATTCCTTGTCCTAATCCTAATCCTCTTCCTTGTCCTAATCCTAGTCCACTTTGCTCTTTTAGATTTTGAAAGATTGTAAGATTGTAAGATTGTAAGATAGAAAGATTGTAAGATTGAAAGATTGTAAGATTGAAAGATTGTAAGATTGAGAGATTGAAAGATTGTAAGATTGAAAGATTGAAAGATTGTATAATTGAAAGATTGTAAGATTGAAAGATTGAAAGATTGTAAGATTGTAAGATTGTAAGATTGAAAGATTGTAAGATAGAAAGAGTGTATGTAGGATAGAAAGATTGTAAGATTGAACGATTTTAAGATTGTAAGATTGTAAGATTGAAAGATTGTAAGATTGAAAGATTGAAAGATTGAAAGATTGAAAGATTGAAAGATTGAAAGATTGTAAGATTGTAAGATTGTAAGATTGTAAGATTGTAAGATTGTAAGATTGTAAGATTGAAACATTATTTAGGGATGGTTACTGTTTTGGTACCCCAGCTAGGAACTCCTGAGCACTCTATATTTTTGTGGAATACTGGAAATCTTTCCAGTCCCGTACATACCTTCGTAGGGCACAGGTGATACTTATGTAAAGTGCTACATAGTGCGTACATACCTTCATAGGGCACAGGTGATACTTATTTACAGTGCTACATAGTACGTACATACATCATTCATACTTATTCATAAACTGTGAAAAGTTTCATGTTTTCTACTTCAACCTGTCGTTATCAAAAGGGATTGTAATCGTAATTTTAAGCGACTCTTTATGTAAAGATGGAAATACCCTATTTACAACGGTATCCTTTAAACCATTGCAAAAATTAGAAAACAATTGTTCTCAGACTTCCGGAAACTAATTTGTCTGAAACTAAGCTTGCAAAATAGTTATCAACAATTTCAAGTGTGTCTGCACTCTGCAGACTAATAGGGATAAGTCCGTCATCCTGACCAATCAAAGGTTTAAAGGGTAGTGCTGCTTATCGGGCATTTCACTCTTCGCAAGGAGGGTCACTTGAAATTCATTTATCTCTCTCTCATGACAGAATTCTTCCCGTTTTAAAATCTTAAAATCTAAATAAAGCTGCAAATATAACATACACAACTTTTAAACATTTATAACGTTTATTAAGATTAAGTACACACACATCTTTGTGTTTACTTCCAGATTGTTTGAAAGGTTAGTTTACATCGAACAAAAATTTCGATTAAAAAACTTTGGAAATCTGGAAAATTTTTAATACTCAAATAACCAAAGAGAATAGAATATATATTAGAGTGGAATTTAGACAATCCCTCGGTTAGTCCCTTTCAGCCTGAAAGGGATTTCAAACTGTACAAATCATGTAAATGTTCACAAATTATATGCAGTAGAGTACATTAATACAGCATGTTCCCTAGACTATCCATTTCAATTTCAATTTTTTTAAAGCTTTTAAATAAACTTGATAAAATGAAAATCATCGTTTGTAAAGTGAAAGGCATAGAGTCTATGTGAAATGATCATTGGTCAATTATGAAACCAGCCTATTACATAATTTGGTTTTATTTTAATATTAATTATAGATTTTCCAGGACCCAAAAGGTTATTTAGCATAAATATGTGAAGTACACCTGCAGTATGGAACAGTACAACAAAATGGCCGTTTTACACTTTTTTCTAATAAATTCCACTCTAATTTATATTCTATTCTCTATGCAGATTTAGTAAGATTTAGAAGTTAGAATTATTAAAAGAAAGAGGGAAAGGGGGGGGGGAGAATAACATTGTCTGTTGTTTATTTATTTTATGTCTTGGTTTCAATAAATCCTGGTATTTCCAATTTAGTAAAGTACCGATACAAGGCTCTCAAAGAGAATCTAATTCTTGAAAATGGATTTTGGCCTGCCCGAGAACTTTCCTGTGCTAAGAATTAAATTTTTATGATGATTAAACTTGGTTTAAAATAAAAGAAAATGGGCCCTGGATACTTTTATTTTCTAAACCTGGGAGATAATATTTGCATAATGATATGCAATGTAATTCAGTGTACACTGTACACTGTACAGTGCAAGCAACTCAGTGTTCACTGTACAGTGCAAAGAATTCAGTGTACACTGTACACTGTACAGTGCAAGCAACTCAGTGTTCACTGTACAGTGCAAAGAATTCAGTGTACACTGTACACTGTACAGTGCAAGCAACTCAGTGTTCACTGTACAGTGCAAAGAATTCAGNATTCTACATTCTACATTCTACATTCTACATTCTACATTCTACATTCTACATTCTACATTCTACATTCCACATTCCACATTCTACATGCTAAATTGTGCATAACAGTTATCAGGAAGTTCAGTTACAACAAGTACAACGCGCTTAACGGGATTTGAGTCCTCACAATTCTGCACATGCACAATTATACAAAATTCGAGCACAATTCCACACAAATCCGCACAATTTCCAGAAATTCGAGCTCGAGCACGCGCAAATCCGCGCAAAAGAATTCCGATTGGATAGCGATATGACATCATCACATGTGTACGATACAGGTTTATAAAAAAGATGGGTTTCTGGTCTTTCGGGAGCTTGAGATTTCATTATGCTTTTCAAACTAAAGAAATATGGTTCTTTTGATATTCTCTTGAAAATACGTTTTAATATTCCTTTAAGCTTTGTATTTATATTCTCTATTTAGAATGTGTTTTATATCCAACAATAGAACCTTTATTCTCAAAATCTACAAACTTGAGTGTCATTCGATTTCATTTTAAAACCTCCCTTTGCGTATGTTTTACAAACTTTACGTAATTTACCAGAAATTTATAAAACTGTAAACATTTTTACGCGGTAATTTTGGCTTAATTCCAAATCATTTTTGTTGCATCCCCCCTACTGAACTTCTGACCTACTAACTTTCCGACCTACTGCAATATCGGACCTACGCCAGCTGTTTATTTTAGTATTATTTGAGGTTTAGGTTAGGTTAAGACAATTTCTGGGCCGAGCGCTGCGGCTAGGACAGGCTAGGGGGCCGAGTGCCGCGGCTAGGACAGGCTAGGGGGCCGGGCGCTGCGGCCACAAGTCCATATAGCAGCTGTAATAACCACGTGCTAGTAGGTCGGATGTTTAGTATAGCGGATTTGGCGTAGGTCAGAAGTGGAGTATGGCGGATATGTGTAGGTCGAAATACACATCACCCTAATTTTGTTCAGGGATGACGTTCTGGATTTTGAATGGCGGATGGAAGACGACTGGCAGTTAGTCTCTTGGTCACGTGACCAAACAATTAGAGTTTGGAATTGTAGTAATCAGATTCAAGCCAGGTACACACCCAGACAAAAATATAAAGGTGCAATTAGTTTTGTGACAAACAAATGTATGAACGTTTTGAAATAAGACTTTTATACCGATCTAAAACTTTTTAAATTTGTCGATCTGATAGTGGAATTTATTGCCTTTGAATGATAACCACGGGTGTTTAAAGGCATTTGTGAAAAAGGGAGTTTAACTTTTTTCTTTCCGGGGGGTTGGGGTCGGGGGGGGGGGCTAAGCCACAATAGCCCCCTCCTGTGTACGGCTCTGGAATCGTGATTTATAAAATGCCATATTAATCAATGAAGCAATTACATGTTTGTTAATGTCTAGTGTACATGATGTACATGTAAAATAAATTTCGTAAATTCGGCTGGGATTTTTAACTTTTATGGGCAGATCTGTATCTTTTCAGTGTACCTTATCTACGCAGCAATAGATTCAGTGTCCCTTATCTACGCAGCAATAGATTCAGTGTACCTTATCTACACAGCAATAGATTCAGTGTACCTTATCTACACAGCAATAGATTCAGTGTACCTTATCTACACAGCAATAGATTCAGTGTACCTTATCTACGCAGAAATAGATTCAGTGTACCTTATCTACTCAGCAATAGATTTGCAGTGTACCTAACCTATGCAGCAATAGATTCAGTGTACCTAATCTACGCAGTGCAGCAATAGATTCAGTGTACCTTATCTACGCAGCAATAGATTTTGTAATTTGTGCTCAGACGTTCGAAGATTTAGATGGAAAGCTATCTAAAAGTTCGATTGTTTAGGTGTGGCTCAGTTGAAGAGGAATCTTCTGCTGACCAAGGGAGGGATGCTTTGAATGTCGTCTTCCAGCTATATCCCGGTGAGAAAAGATTTAAACAATAAAAAAAATTTCCATTGAGAGCCACCACTCGTTTTATATAATTATATAATAAGTTAACAATCTAAACACATTCTTTTGAACTTTAATCAATGAATATAAAGGTTATTGACAATAATTCTTTTAGCTGAGCCGGACTCCTTGGCTGATCTGAAAAAAATTAAAGATGACCCAACTTTACCCTCGGTATTATCAGCTACCTCTATCCAAACTGACCCAGCTATTAACCAGCATGCTGACCAGCCTCTACCAAAATTAAAAAGTCGCCAAGGCAGCGCAAGTTCTTTTGCTGATCTAACAGGTTATTTTTTCAAACTTATATTCAGTTTAGATGCAAATTACAATTTATTTTACATCTTTTTTAGAACAATTTTAAGGTGTTTTTTATAGATAATTGTGAAAAGGCAGTCAAATTCGCTTAACCATATTGGACTAATTTTTGAATGAACATGATCTTGTTGTTTGTCCGATATAGTCTACTCAGCAGGAAACCATCTTAATTAGTTAAACTGTTAGTTCAAAAAGTTAATGATTAACTAAAAAATTTTATAGAACACACTAATTTAACTATCCAATGTTCCAATTAGAGCTATCCCTTCGATCCTAATTTGACCAATTAAACATATACAGCTGTTGTCATGTCGTTATTCTCTTTCGTACTTTTTTGTTTGTAGATGGGTTTAAAATAAAGACAATTTCAAATTTAAAGATTATTGAAATAAAACTTCAAAAAAGTTCAAAACCAAACTGTGTTAAAAATTCGAAGATTTTGTTTAATTCATAAAAATTCCTGATAGACCCTTTTTTACAATTATCATCAGAAAGTAATACAGGGTTGCCCACAAAGGATGAGACTTTGGTGACGACCAAAAATCTTTGAAATTTAATATTTAGAGGGTTGAATTTAATATTTAGGAGGTTGAATTTGAATGGTTTTGTACCGAATGAGGTTGAATTTGAATGGTTTTGTTCCGAATGAGGTTGAATTTGAATGGTTTTGTACAGAATGAGGTTGAATTTGAATGGTTTTGTACCGAATGAGGTTGAATTTGAATGGTTTTGTACCGAATGAAACAATTTCAAACGCTGTGTAAAAAGTCTGCTTGAATTCTGTACTGTCGTCTCTGAAGTCTCATCCGTTGAGGTCAACCCTGTACATTTTTATTTTAATTTAATTATTTAGTTGTCCTGCATATTCTAATGATTTGAAAACAAATTTTATTTTATTTTGCAGAAAGATTTTGTAAAGAACAATCTCCACGTGGTGCTTTGTCACAGTCGGACAGCTCAGGTATTCTTTACTTTTAAACATTACTCTTTCTTTTCTAACAATAAAACCTAAACATGGTCGGACCCATTAAACACTCTGTTAGGAAAACTAAATTTAAATAATCTTATGTGTATTTGATTTTGCCTTTAAGAAAAAAGTTCACCATGAGCTTAAAAATCAACTTATTAAGTGAAATGTGTACGCTGGGGTGTTGGCATGTTTTCTGTTCGGTATAAACCAATTGAAAAATGTTCACAATTAAAATAGAAAATGGGCGCGAAGCGCCTAAAAGACTTATAGTTATATATATTATAGATTTTTAAAAAATCCTGATTTTAAAATAACTTTTTTTGTAAATTATTGAACAACACCAATTTCCACCAAATAAAAGAAAAATATAAATTTGTGTTTTAAGAAAAAAAGTCATTTTAGAAACTTTTTAGAATAGAAATCTTCGAAATATTAAAAAAATTTTAGATGTTCTTTTTAGGTGCTCTTGAAAATACTCTGCAGCAGGAGTTTGCTCTGTTAGATACAAACTTTAGTTTCATTAGGTTAGAATACTTTTTAATATAAAATATAATTTCCTCAACAGACTGAACTATGCAGAAAAGAGGGTCAATACAGCTCTTCAATAAAAGGAATTATGGAAAACAGATAAAATTTCAACCTGACGTACAATTTGTTTTAGATTGACATGTTACGTACTTTTCTTAGATTCAATCAAATGCAAAAAAAGTGTCATGGAAATAAAATTGTATATTTATTCTTTTTGGTACTTTTTGACTTTTCTCAGTATATTTATATTACTCCGAAAGATATCATGCCATTTTTCAAAGAAAGGATAATATCATTTTTGTTTTTATCATTTGTCCTTATTTCTGAATTTTTACAATTTTATATTTACAAAATCCCTCACCACCCTTTTACAATACAATCTACATTCTACAATCTACATAAAGTCTCCACCAACCCTTTTATACGTATATCAGGAAATCATCCTCCTACTCCCCCTCCTTTCTAACAACGCACTCCGCGCACTATAGGGAGTTTGAGTGGGAGGATTTCGAATTTTCTAAATAATAAAAAAGTTTTTGAATTTTTAATGTGTTTTGATTCTTCTCTAAGGTTTCTTAGATTTTAAAATTTTCAAAATAAACCCCGACCCACTTTATATAATTTACAATTACAGGAATATTTCAATACATTTTTTATTTTGTCTGAGTTTGGAACTCTCATATTGTGGATAACAAGCCAATATTTTGAGATTTACAGATAAATTTTATTTTTTTTATATAGGTCTAAAATTAAAAGTTTAGAGCATGTTCAGTAACACAAAATTAGACTTTTTTAGTACACAATCAATCGACCCACATTTTTAATATGGCCAATCCACCCCAAAAAATATTTCATATAAAAAAATTTGGTATCTGTTTCTCACCAAAATAACTAAAATTTTAAATTTGAGAAGAATCAATTTTTTTGGTCAAAATTCAAATGGTGTATTCATGCTCTATTGACACGTGATCCTCTCTTTTTGCTATGTTGCTATGTTGCTATGCTATCTGTTAAGATTAATACTATCTGTTCAGATTAATATTATTTGCTTAGATTAATATTATCTGTTTAGATTAATATTATCTGTTTAGATTAATATTATCTGTTTAGATTTATATCATCTGTTTAGATTAACACTATCTGTTTAGATTAATATTATTTGTTTAGATTAATATTCTCTGTTTAGATTAATATTATCTGTTTAGATTAATATTATCTGTTTAGATTAATACTTTCTGTTTAGATTAATTTTATCTGCTTATCTGTTTAGATTAATATTATCTGTTTAGATTGATATTATCTGTTTGGAATAATATTATCTGTTTGGAATAATATTATCTGTTTAATTAGATTAATATTATCTGTTCAGATTAATATTATATGTTTAGATTAATATTATCTGTTTAGATTAATTTTATCTGTTTAGATTAATATTATCTATTTAGATTAATATTATCTATTTAGATTAATATTATCTGTTTAGATTGATATTATCTGTTTATATTAATATTATCTGTTTAATTAGATTAATATTATCTGTTTAGATTTATATCATCTGTTTAGATTAACACTATCTGTTTAGATTAATATTATCTGTTTAGATTAATATTATCTGTTTAGATTAATATTTTGTGTTTAGATTTAAATTATCTGTTTAGATTAATATTATTTGTTTAGATTAATATTATCTGTTTAGATTAATATTATCTGTTTAGATTGATATTATCTGTTTAGATTAATATTATCTGTTTAGATTAGTACTTTCTGTTTAGATTAATATTATCTGTTTAGATTAATTTTATCTGTTTAGATTAATTATACAGATCTGGTTTCCCTCGACCTACCCTGTCAATACACCACCAGTATTCAGTTTTCTTCAGGAATATTATTACAACAATATCTTGGAAATCCAGCTTTGCGTATGAAGTCATTGAACAAACTAGCTTAAAACAAACAATCGATTAATCAGAGCTAACTACGTTGAAAAAATAACGTTTTAAAATTGATGAAATTTTAAAATATTAACAATTTAATGGGATTTTTTTCTTTAAAACTGCAACTAAAAATATCCATTTTTGAAGAAAAAAACATGATGTTTACATCAATTTTGATCGTTAAATGCAATAACTAATGATATGTTATATAAATAATACAATAGATATCTGAAACTAAATTACGCAAAAACTAATAAAAAACATAAAATAACATCTAATAAATTTTTAAATTAGATTTTTTTGGATATTCAACTTGTGATTATATCAACTCCTAGGGTTCAACAATAAAATCAGAATTAAAAATCCGACTGCTCAACCTACTAAAAGAAACTGCACAGCACTTGGTATTCTTTATAAAAAATCCTCAAACTTTACGACACTTTCCACATTTTTTTGTTACAACCATTTTCTTTTTAAGTAACGCAAAGTTTCCCGAATTCTGGATGCGAATGTACACAAAGTGTAAAGAGATGATTTTTTAATCATTCTCTATTGTTACAAAAATGGAATTGTTTGCTTTAAAAACTGTATATATTAATGTTTGCAAAGATTTCTTTAGTTTTCTAAAGGTAGAAATAAACTGAAAAAAGTTGAAGTTTCCTTTTCTTCTTATCTTTTAAATGGAAAGATTAATAATGGATAGATCCTTAAATAAACATTGAGTTGAAGGGAGTGTTCGCAAAAAATGAAAGGGGGTATAGGCTTACGGCGAAAAATTAGCACTTTTGATCGCGACTAATCTTACTTCTATCTATTGCGTCTATAAAAAGATAATTGTTACACGCGACTCATGCTGAAGACAGAAGAACGTAGCGTCCATACAAATTCAGGAAGTTGCAACATTCAATTCTAATCGTAAAATAATCAATTTAATTCCAAACAAATCATTCAGATATTACAACCAATAATCATCGATAATTTTTCGACGCATTCGTATACAGTTGATATTTCACATTATTTCTTATTTTTTTTTTATGATCAGATAGTTAAATTTGAAAACATTTATTCCTGTTTAGAGGATTTTTGATAATAAAGACGACATTTTCATATTTTCCAGGAATGTTCGAAAATGAAGCGCCAGCGAAATATTATTTTATAAAACAAAGTCAAAAATATTTGAAATATTAACTATTTACAAAAGCGTCGAAAAAAAATCGATGACTATTGTTTTTAATATCTAATGATTTGTTTGTATGGACGCTACGTTCTTCAGCATGATTCTTTTTTAACAATTTTCTACTTATAGACGCAATAGATATAGAAGTAAGACTAGTAGCGATCAAAAGCGCATATTTTTCGCCGTAAGTCCTTTAATTTTTCGCGAACACTCCCTTTAAAGGATAGATAAATTATTGATTGGATGAATTAATGAATAGATATAGGCAAGCAAAGCAGAGTTTTAATAGGAGGAATACATTAGTGAATATAGTTTGAAAGGAACCAAACCTGCCTGAAAAGGATTACAGAATGAGTGCATTATTTATAGGATAAATACTTGAATAAATACAAGTTGGAAGGAACCGAGTCTGTCTTGAATGGATTAAAAGATTAATATATTGATGATAGAATGAATTAATGAATGAATTATTGATGAATATACTAATTAATATAGGTTGCAAGGAACCGAACATGCCTAGAAAGGTCAAAAGATGAATAAATTAATGATAAAATGAATTAATGAATGCATTATTGATAGGATGAATATATTAATGAATATAGGTTGCAAGGAACCGAGCCTGCCTAGAAAGGTTAAAAGATGAATAAATTAATGATAAAATGAATTAATGAATGCATTATTGATAAGATGAGTATACTAATTAATATAGGTTGCAAGGAACTAAGGCCTGTCTGGAAAGGTTAACAGATGAATGAATTTATTATAAAATGAATTGATGAATGCATTATTGATAGGACGAACATATTAATGAATATAGGTTGCAAGGAACCGAGCCTGCCTAGAAAGATGTTTACGAATTCTTGAATGCCAACTAGCTGTTGTCCATCAGGTAAAATAGATATTATCGTCAGTGACTTGATTTTTATTTGGCCACTAGCTGTGGACAGTGCCTGGGTCTAACTAATGCCTGGTGTAAAAGGGGGGGGAAGGGTCGCGGAAAACCCTAGAAAAAATCTAGAATATCACAATTTCGTTTTTAAGGAACACAATTAATTTCATCGTGGATCAATAAAGTTCAAATACATATCAGTACACGGGAGAAGAAACTCTTTCGTTTGCATTAAATGCTTGTAAGCTGTTTGGTCCCTTCCAATTGGCACGATGTTTTCTTTAAAAAGTTTAAAAAGATAAATTCATTTGTATTTTAGGGATATCTTACATATCATATCTTTCATATCTGTTTAGAGTTAGTTGATTAAATTGGCTTTTAAATATTGTAAAAAATCCCTTTTATGAGTTTTAACTTTTGATTTAATACCAGGAGAACAGTCTAGACACTGTACGGACAAATCAGAAGTTTCCTTTTCAAAGTGTTCCTCTTAAATATCAGGTAAACTGTACACAGAACACAAATACTGTACACTGTAAATATATATTCTACACTTATCACTGTACACTGTACATAATACATTGTACAAAATACACTGTACACTATGCACTGTACACTAAACACTGTACCACTGTACAGTGTAGTGGTACAGTGTACATGGTACACTATACACTGTACACTGTACACAGTATACTGTACACTGTACACTGTACACTGTACACTTTACACTATACACTGTACACTGTACACTGTGCACTGTACACTTGTACACTGTATACTATACACTGTATACTAAACACTGTACACTATACACTGCACTGTACACCATACACTGTACATTATACACTGAACACTATACACTGTCACTGTAAATATATACTGTACACTGTACACTGAACACTCTACACTGTAAACTGTACACTGCACACTTTACACTGTCCACTTTACGTTATGCACTTTAATTTTAACGTCTGTACACTTTACACTGTACACAGAACGCTTTACACTTTACAGTGTGCACTGTACACTGTACACTGCACACAGTAAATTGTATACTGTACATAATACACTGTACACTGTAAATTGTACACTGTACAATGTATACTGTACTGGACTTTATACTGTACAGTGTACAGTAGAAATATATTCTACGCCTATAGTTAATATTGTCTTTTATTCAACTGCTTTTTGAGCATTATATATATCTAAAATACTATACAATACACACATATAATATCAAGTTTGTTTCTTGTCATGAACAGCATTTGGGAACAGTTTAAAAGTTTTAAGATGGTTTTGCTGAAAGCCTTTTAAAGTCTTTTCATCTATGAATTGAAAAAAAACATCGCACACGGGCAACGCCAAGACCTTCAGCTAGTCAATATAAAAAAACAAGACATTGGTATATATAAATATGTTGCCTATATCCGGCCAAACAGTTGGACTGATTGGACGGAAATTTTTGTGGACACTCAAGGGTGGCCAGGGGGTGTTATAGGCTAACCTTTTTTTCAATATTTTTTCCCCACTGGCAACGCCGGGCCCTTTACTAGTAAATAATAAGACAGGAATTGATTCTCTGCCACAAAGTCTTATATTCTAATCTTTATATCTTTGCAACCCAATGCTGTAGTTCTTAGATATTTCAAACTATAAATTCTGTGAGATTAAACAATCTAAGTTTTAAATATAAAAGGTTTACACAATTAGGTTACAATGATTAAGGAATTAAGATATAAAAATGGGTGGCAAGAATTCAATTCCTTCAGATAATAAAAACAATATTTGTAACCCTACCTTCACAAAGCAACATCATATTAATAAAATAACTGTAGGATAACTCTATACCGTAGTCTCGGACTGCTGGAGCAACATCATATTAATATAATAACTGTAGTATAACTCTATACAGTACCCTCGGACTGCTGGAGCAACATCATATTAATATAATAACTGTAGGATAACTCTGTACCGTACCCTCGGACTGCTGGAGCAACATCATATTAATATAATAACTGTAGGATAACTCTGTACCGTACTCTCGGACTGCTGGAGCAACATCATATTAATATAATAACTGTAGGATAACTCTGTACCGTACTCTCGGACAGCTGGAGCAACATGATATTAATATAATAACTGTAGGATAACTCTATACCGTAGTCTCGGACAGCTGGAGCAACATGATGTTTAATATAATAACTGTAGGATAACTCTATACCGTACCCTCGGACAGCTGGAGCAACATGATGTTTAATATAATAACTGTAGGATAACTCTATACCGTACCCTCGGACAGCTGGAGCAACATGATGTTTAATATAATAACTGTAGGATAACTCTATACCGTAGTCTCGGACAGCTGGAGCAACATCATATTAATATAATAACTGTAGGATAACTCTATACCGTAGTCTCGGACAGCTGGAGCAACATGATGTTTAATATAATAACTGTAGGATAACTCTATACCGTACCCTCGGACTGCTGGAGCAAGATTTTGCTCAAATAATCTTCTTGTGTGCTTTGGGAGACCAACATATAAGAAACAAGTAAGAATTCTAATATAGGAAAAAATGTTATAAATTTATAGATATTGCTAACATTTTTCGTTTAAAAAAGATAACAATTTTATAAAAATTAATTTGTTTTTAATTTAAAATTGAACACATTTTTCTGTAAGGGAGTAAAATAATACTTAAATTTATTATTCACTAAAATATTTGTTGATTTGAGCAGTAAAATTGGTTTTGTCTTGTTGATGTGTTTTGCATAAAGAATTCTTGATCTCAATCTTTTTTGATTTTTAGATTAATGTAATCTTTCATTCGATATTTAGTGAAGTACAAACAGCCAATCAGATGCCAATGCGCTTAACTAATGAGAGAAAATAGAAATTTATGATATCCAAAATCAAGAAATCAAGCAGATTCTCCGTAAAATTCAAAAATGTCATGTGCGGATATTGAGATCAAGTCATCGGGATTAGGGTATCCAGCACAAATGTTCCAAGCTCAGAAAAATATTTTCTAAGTATTTTTGCTAATTTCGTCTTTTTTGTTAAGATAAAAAATATAAATGGGACTGGGCCCACGCCTCGAGCTTACTCTGCGTATATAAGTCTTCTTGCTTCAAGATCAGAAAAGAATTTATTTCCAAGCTTAGCATTATCTAGTCTTCCAGGTATAGATCAATTTTTTTCTAATTTGTAGATTAATATTTTGTTGAAGGAAATAAACAAATTATTGATATTGGGGATTTCTTAAAATTAAAAAATATCTAAATCTAAAAAAAGCTAAGGAGCTAAGTATACCAGATCAAATAATAAGCTTAGGAACTAGTTTACCAGATCTGATGATTAGCTAAGGAACTAGGTATACCAGATCAATGATAAGCTAAGGAACTAAGTATACCAGATCCAATGATTAGCTAAGGAACTAGGTATACCAGATTTAATGATTAGCTAAGGAACTAGGTATACCAGATCAATGATAAGCTAAGGAACTAAGTAAACCAGATCCAATGATTAGCTAAGGAACTAGGTATACCAGATCGAATGATAAGCTAAGGAGCTAAGTATACCAGATCGAATGATAAGCTAAGGAACTAAGTATATCAGATCCAATGATAAGCTAAGGAACTAAGTAGTATACCAGATATAATGATTAGCTAAGGGACTAAGTATACCAGATCTAATGATTAGCTAAGGAACTAAGTATACCAGATATCTCCGAGTACTCTAGGATGAAAAGAATTAGGTTTTGCAAAAAGAAAATCCTTTTTATGGTTGAGAAACTTAATGTAACCGGTTTTACGAGCTCAACTATCCGACTTGGAGGGTGGGATGTCTTATTTAGGTAATGAGGCGGCAAATAGACACTTAAACCTTCGACAGCTACAAAATATGCAATTTAAAACCGGGGTTTCTCAAATATAATCAATTGTTTTAATAACAGTTCTAATTGCAAAATAATTATTTGCGATCTGAAAAAAATTTTACTTCAATGTGTGCAGTAGTTTTTTAGCAGAAAAAAATAGTAAAATAGATTTTTTTAAATCAACATTTTGTTTGGATTAACCCTGTCACGATTTGGGGTGGGATGTTATATCCCTCACCTCCTTGTGTTTTTTTTTCCAAATAACTTAAAAACGGCTCACATTGGAATGCAAAACTTTTTCCCTTTTTCAACTACAAAGTTGTGAACAAATTTTGCTAATTTTTCTTTTTGATGTACAGGGTAGGGTGGAGGACATCAAACGGCGGTTCGGTGTTTCAATTAAAACAGAAATTGGTTAATAACTATTTTATGAATTAAGCTACAGTGCTAAAATATTTAAAAAACGCTAAAAAAATGGATATAATAACATGAGTCTCATGTTAATGTTTGTCAAAACTAAAAATATTTATTATCGAACAATTTTGCGACATACTTTTTGAACTTTTTTAAAATTCTCTCGCACTAAAATTTGAGATATACTTGTCTTTAATGAACAGGCCTTGAAAAGTTTGACTATGGACATGTATCACCCCTATCTCAACTCTAAGGGAAAAGTAATCTATATTAGACAACATCAACATCAATGGTTGAGAACGTGTTTTTCCAATTCTAAGATTAATTCGGAAAGCTTTCAGACCAGAGAAATTTTCTGCAAAGAATACATTTTTTCCTCAAAATTTAGCTCTTGGTGATTTTTTTCAAAATAATATTTTTTGATGTTTTTCTCGGCAGATTTCTCGGCATATTGAATATCCTGAAAACATGTCTGAGAATTCAAAGCAATCTTCACACTGTTCAGGGAGAAATTTGCATACACAAACCTAGTTTTGCATACAAGCATTTAGTTTGCAAATAGATTGCAAATATATACAGCAAAAATCTAAGGAAAATTCCGTCCAGGTTTAAAGTTTTAATTTTTTCATCATCATAAGGACATTTCTTCCGGATTTTTCTCAAACTGTATGAACACGAAAAGAGAAAAAACTGCATTTTAATGGAACCATCGTAAACATGTCAAGAAATTCAAGAGCACTTTCTAGTTCAAATAATTGGACAGTTTGAAATTAGCTGGATTCAATGAATTTGCTGCATACAAAAAAAACTGTTTATGGATAATTTAAATAAAAACTTTTGATGCTAAAATATCTCAATAGATAACTCATAATACAATAATAATACAATTGTTCACATCGACTTTCCAATATTTAAAATAAAAAGTTAATCACAAAAATCAATATTAATTCTTTTAACCCATTTATGGACAATTTTGAAACAAAATTTTAAAAAAGTATTTAAATAATATATTTTTAGAGCAGCAAGAAAGACAACTGAGTACCCTAAACACTGGCAGGTTTAAAGTTAGAAGAGTTGGAACAGAGGATAGATTTGTCAGGTGAGGCTTTTTTATTCTTTTGATACTTGAAAGAGGGAGAGGAGGCAGAGAAAACACATTATTTCTGCAACCGAGCCTCATCTTATAATTATTTAATGTTTGTAAAATTGTAAACCCGTAATATCCTTTCAAAAAGCTGGTAAAATAAGCTCCAATATATAATCTTCCACAAACATTAAATAAAAAGTCCAAGGGGTAAATATTGAAATCATTCACAAATTAAGTGAAACACTGACTAAACAAAGTTAAAATTTTGAGTAAAGCAAAAATCCGTTTTCATTAAAAGACATGGGAATGAATTGAAAAGTTCATCTAACTAAAAATTATTGAAATATTGTAGAAAATTATTGAATTGTTTAGACGAAGAAAATCGGTTCAGCTTAGGAACCAGTCAGTTTCTCTCACTGTCACTATTTATAGTGTTGAAAGGTTAGTTTTAAAAATTAAAATTGTTGGACCGTTAACCCTAAATAGGCTGGGGGGGGGGCTTTTGATGCCCCCCTGTAGTTTTTTTTTGTCCTAGGACTCTCATTTTTGACACTATCCTCGTGAAATTTTGTGACTTTTCATGAATATAAAGGATTTTTTGTAAACCAATTTTTTTAATGCATAGTGTTGTTCTTTTAGAAAAAGGCCTTTCAGTAATTATGGAGTTGCACAAAAGCAATACATCCTCAAAGAACAATTTTTCAAGGCAAGCTCATAAAGAAAATTACACCCCCCCCCCGTGCAGTGTCTTTACATAGACTAAGGCCCCCCGGCCCCCAGCCGTTAAATAAATATCTACGAATCTTGCATGTTGAAGACTATAGATGTAAATAGCCCCAAAATCAAAATTAGGGTGGTTTGTCATGTTTTCCCTGTTTCTGTGCGCCGCGCATAAAAACATCAAGATGACACTTGTTAAAAAATTCGGACCACATCTTTTTTCTGTGCGTCTAGGCGTTTTCAAGTGCAAAGATTCAACTCTCTTAAACATTTTTCTTTTTATTTATTAAAATCGTGTTTCTGTGCGCCGCACATTAAACATTAAAATGACACTTGAACACGAAACAACGTGTGATCCTAATTTTTATTATCAAGTGACATTTTGATGTTTTTATACGCGGCGTAATGAAACAGGGGAAAAATAAAATACCACCCCAATTTTGATTTTAGGTAAGTTTAAACAAATACTGGTTAAGATGGGTATCAAATTCCAAATCTGACAAGTAACTTTTCCTTTAAATAGTAACAGAGCTGATCAATAAAAGTAAAAAATTACTCTATTTCTTATCCATAAGTTGACAATATATTTTTAAAAAAACTATTAGAGGATTCCGAAAGTAGATACAAAGATACAAGCAAGAAACTTCAACAATAGATATTTAAAATAACATTGTCCATCCCTCAAATCCATCAAATATCCATCCCTCAAGTCCAAAAAAAAAATCAAATGAGACTAAAATTCAGTTTTTGAAACCCTGACTTTCAAACATAAACAGAATTTGTTTAGACTTCTTCCAGTCAGTTTGGAGCTGGCAGAGCATTATGTTATTGAAGAGGATACCGTTCAGGTAAATTATGTTATTGAAGAGGATACCGTTCAGGTAAATTATGTTATTGAAGAGGATACCGTTCAGGTAAATTATGTTATTGAAGAGGATACCGTTCAGGTAAATTATGTTATTGAAGAGAATACAGTTAAGGTAAATTATGTTATTGAAGAGGATACCGTTCAGGTAAATTATGTTATTGAAGAGAATACCGTTCAGGTAGATTATGTTATTAAAGAGGTTACCATTCAGGTAAATTATGTTATTGAAGAGGATACCGTTCAGGTGGATTATGTTATTAAAGAGGTTACCGTTCAGGTAAATTATGTTATTAAAGAGGATACCATTCAGGTAAATTATGTTATTGAAGAGAATAGCGTTCAGGTAAATTATGTTAATAAAGAGGTTACCGTTCAGGTAAATTATGTTATTTAAGAGGATACCGTTCAGGTAAATTATGTTATTGAAGAGGATACCGTTCAGGTAAATTATGTTATTAAAGAGGATACCGTTCAGGTAAATTATGTTATTGAAGAGGATACCGTTCAGGTAAATTATGTTATTGAAGAGGATACCGTTCAGGTAAATTATGTTATTGAAGAGGATACCGTTCAGGTAAATTATGTTATTGAAAAGAATACCGTTCAGAAAATTATGTTATTTAAGAGGATACCGTTCAGGTAAATTATGTTATTGAAGAGGATACCGTTCAGGTAAATTATGTTATTAAAGAGGATACCGTTCAGGTAAATTATGTTATTAAAGATGATACCGTTCAGGTAAAATTTTGTTATTGAAGAGGATACCGTTCAGGTAAATTATGTTACTGAAGAGAATACCGTTCAGGTAGATTATGTTATTAAAGAGGTTACCATTCAGGTAAATTATGTTATTGAAGAGGATACCGTTCAGGTAAATTATGTTATTGAAGAGGATACCGTTCAGGTAAATTATGTTATTGAAGAGGATACCGTTCAGGTAAATTATTTTATTGAAGAGGATACCGTTCAGGTAAATAATATTATTGAAAAGAATACCGTTCAGAAAATTAGAAAATTAGAAAATTAGAAAATTGAAAATTGAAAATTGATGCATAGTTTATTTTAAATGTATGAATCGTTGTGTCGTGTCAACCTTTGCTATTTCAAATGTTGACTACATCTAGTCGAATGCATATGATTGAAATATCAAAGATCGCAAGGTGTTTGCCCACTGAGATATAGACAACTCTGAGTCATCAAATTTAAATTTCTTTACATCCTCAACTTTGAAGTGAAGCAACGCCTTGCCTTTGGTTTTTCCTCGCCAACTTACTCCCTTGGCCTAGACATATACATTTTAAAAATGCTGCGCGTCTGTTTCTATAGCTTGAAAAATATTAATTGGCATAATACTGCTTTATTTTTTGTGTAAGAGTGTGCACATCTTGATTTGCAGTGTGCTATCATTCATCAGGTTGCACCTTTAATCAACCTCATTTTGCAATTTTGCACGAAACGAAGTGCTATTTTTTCGCGCAAAAATGTAGCGCAACGAGAGCAAAAATTTGCGCTTTCTTTCTCAAAAGTTTTGCGCACGGAAACCCTACTTTTAATCTACAAAATGTTTAAGTAATTTAAAAAGATTCAAAGCTTAGAAAACTGTAAGGTATGCAATATTATGTTTTAGATGTGTGTGATGAATTCTAATATTACTGAGAGTTTAAATAGACCTGATTTAGCTCATATCTGGAGAGTTTTAGGTAATATAAGTTTAATCATGAACCTACATTGTTCATTGTCCCCTGTAAACTTTACAATATGAATTAATACAAAACACGACAGTTTAAAATGTCTTCTCATAAAGTGTTTGATTTTGAAGAGAATAATAAGTAATATTAAATGGCGGTCATATATTACAGTAACATTGATTTTACATCGAAATATGATTTAGTAAAAAATTTTCTTATAACAAAAAAAATGCAAAAAGTCTTTAATAAAGGTTTATCCACAAAGAATGAGACTTAAGAGACGATTGTACGGAATTTATACTGTAGGTTTTCTTATATTAATGATTCCCTGTAGCCAAGGTTATAATGCAATGAAAGTTATTTCAAATGTGTACACATCTTTTGTACTGCAGTGTACTGTCTCTGGGCGCTAATGTAAACACAAAACGGATGTCACAGCCTGACAGGGGATCCATCTTTCATATAAACAAATCAATGAAATATTCTGGTCATAGGAAACTATTATGTGAATTATCAAAATTTTTAAAATTCTATGCTTTTATTCTCCTCGGATACTAAACGAACACTGATGCATCTATTCTTGTTTACAAATTCCGCCCAGAGAGAAATGGTTTCAGTATGTACGCAGAAAATACGCAATTGCAATTAATTTTCCTTGCATTATCCTTGCATGGAGCTTTAAACTTCTTTTCTTTTTTTGCCAAATTTTTAAAAACCCATTAATTGACTCTTATCACGGGCCGAAACCCTAATTTAACATTGGGATCGTCATATTTGAAGAGTTTTCAGTCGTCTTTACAGTCTCATCCATTGTTGGTAACCCTGTATCTAATACAGTATAAGGAAGAAGACATTTGAAATGTTTCACCCTTCATGTTTCGTGGGACACCCATTTATAAAATATACTCTAGTATTATCTTAGCTGTAAACTGCAAAAACAAAGTTCACTATTAGTTTTATCAGTTGAGGTCCATTATTATTTGTAAACTTTAATCTATGCACAGTGTACACTGTACAAATTATGAGAAAAAACATGACAATTTATGTTCTGTACACTGTACAGTACAGCTTGTTACTGTACTCTATGAGATATCTTATTGTACAAAAAACCCTTATTTACAAAATAGATGTGAGGTACATTACTAATTTTTAACCCTTTCATTGTAGACTAAGAACTATGAACTATGTACACCGCTCGTACGTTCTGAGCTATGTACCGTGTACACTATGACCTGTACTAGGTGAGATAGCCAGGTCCTGTGAGATATATACTAGAGAGAAGGAACACCCCTGGAGCAGATCTCCCCTAGGAACTAAACTTATCCAGTCTATCATCAGGAACATATCCTTCACGATCTTACAACATTTACCACACAAAATAGTTCAACACCAAAATATTCAAAAATATTGATGTCAAAGGGAGATTTTAGGCGTAATTTTAAGTGGTCTTACATTCATAAAGTAGTATGTCCGATTCAATTTGGTCCTGGTCAAAAATGCATTAAATATTCATCATATATTTTCTTAAAAATTTATTATTTTGAATTGAAGTTTCTCTATGATCGACTTGCACATTCCTGCCTCAGAAGTTCTGACAGAAATTGTCAGAAATTAAACAGTAAAAAGTATTCAACAATTTAAATGGATGTTCACTTGAAATCACAGCTATAATTATTAATTTAATATGAACTAGCTAAAGGGCCCGGCGTTGCCCGTGGCAAAAAAAAATTGAAAAAAATTAGAAAAAAAATTTGTAAAAATTTTTTCATTTTTTTAGTCTATAACATCCCTGATTTTCCACAAAAATGTTCAGCCCATTTGGTCAAGCCGTTTGGCCGGCTATAGACAACATAAATATATACAAATGTCTTGTTTTATTATGTTAGTAATACAAAGGATCATTCTTTAGAAACGGGTTTACGGTATTTATTGTATCACTGTCTCGATCTTTGCTCAGCTGGTCTTAATTACACAAACATGTTTTCTTAGCTAACCATTACAAGGTTATTAAACACATTAGACCAAAATCTAACTGGTCATAATTAAAGATTTTTTAGGTTCTTATTATTGTTTCATTCTTTGTTGGTTACCATGTATCATTTAATAAGAGCACCCATGAATCTATTTTTGTTATTTGAAGGAGGAATGATTTAGGCATTTTATCAACTGTCATGATTTCCAAACTATTGCTCTGATTGTGTGTGCGTTCACCAAACCTACAAAAGCTGATCAGGTATCTGAACATTTACTAAAATTTCATTTGTTTGGAAATTATAAACATTATGTGCAAAATTTTGTGTAAAATTATGTATCACCAATTTGTTTATTCTAAAAGAAATTCTGAAATTTTTTTATTTTTAAATGCTGTTGGTCAGTTTAACATAACGAACAGAATGTTAAAGTTTCTAAAAAAACGGTTTTTAACTAATACTTTTTAGAACAAAGGAATTGAGTTTTTGCCACAAACTCTGATTTTCTAATTTCAATATCGTTGCAACCCAATATTGTAGACCTCTAATATTTCAAACTATGAATTCTGTTAGATCAAATAATGTAAGTTTGAAATATCAAAGGTTTACATTATAAGATTGCAGTTTATAAAAACTGAATTTGTGGCAAAGACTCAATTCCTTTCGTTTTGAATCATTGATGGAACTCCCTGTAGGGGTCGCTTAATCTATATTAACCCTCTTTTTATAGTTTGTTAAAAAAGTTAGAAGTATATTTTAAAAGAAGAAGTTTAATTAGGTTCTCACAACAGAAAAGCAACAAGAGAAAACTAATTCTGCAAAAGATAGATTCTGGTTTCTTCGACCAGGTTTGTTTTAGAAAATATTTTATCTTTTAACATGGTTTTAAAAAATATAGGTTGTCTCAAAAAAAATAGGGAATAGGAGTTCTACAGACTCGTTTGTAATAGGATTTTCAAGATTGAGACCATTTAAAAAAATCTACACACAATTTCCAACAAATTCAATGAGAGCTCAATTTAAGGCTTTTAGATCTAAAAATGAAAAAGTTTCCAACTGGAGTGAGTAAATTTTGTAAAAATAAAGATAATTTCCATTTGCACAATTTTTTTAATTATCATTATGTTTACAGTATATAACCATCTTATTAAAAATGTCCACTATTAGCAGCAAAACTTTTTTGGGCCCTATTGATCTAACTTCAAAAATAGCCTTTTGGGAGACAGCAGGGTCAAGGGCAGCTATTTCTCTTGATGTTGACCTCAACTTTGTAATGTAAATGAGAGGGAAGAAAAGCCCAGATGAAACTGTCAAATGGTTTCAATCTTGAAAATCCGATTACAAACAAGGTGAACCCTTAATCCCCGTTTTCTATATTTATTTTTTATTTTTAGGAGGACTGACAAATCTAAATGATTCTCCATACCATACAATACATGCCGGCAAAATAGAAAACTTTCCAGGTGCTGCACTTGTATGTACAACTTGTGTACAACGTACATACTGTACTGTACTTGTATGTACAACTTGTGTACAACGTACATACTGTACTGTACTTGTATGTACAACTTGTGTACAACGTACATACTGTACTGTACTTGTATGTACAACTTGTGTACAACGTACATACTGTACTGTACTTGTTTGTACAACTTGTGTACAACGTACATACTGTACTGTACTTGTATGTACAACTTGTGTACAACGTACATACTGTACTGTACTTTGTATGTCAACTTGTGCACAACGTACATACTGTACTGTACTTGTATTTACAACTTGTGTACAACGTTCATACTGTACTGTACTTGTATGTACAACTTGTGTACAACGTACATACTGTACTGATGTTTATAAGTTGTCATACAAATATCTAATTTAACAAAAAATGGTAGATAATGAGCTTATCAAATTTGAAACAATAAAGTATCATTTGTGTTAATTTTAAATGACGTGCTCTGGATTGAAAACAACAATTTACCAGGAATTTTTATTTTAAATTTGAGCCCATTTCTCGGATTTTTTTGCAGTTGTTAATAACTGTATGCATTGTATCTATAAGAAGAAAATGGTATTTTTATTTATTTTTAACAAAAAGACTTTGAATTTGTTTTCTTTGCATTTTGAAAGAAGATAATTTATTTGTTTGTATTGAGGTAAAAACCGGACTGGAGGATCGAATCCCAACCTGGATAAATGTTGGAGTAAAAATATCAGATCTAATTCATGGACTGATATTCTTCCAGAAGAAATCAGATATTCACTAGGTGATTAGACTTTTTTATTTGTATGATTTTTATTACAGGGTGTCCCAATACATACGAGACAATATTTTTATCTTCTCAGATTTTCTATTGCTTATAATTATGGGGGCGATAGTTGTAAACCTGCTAGCCTATATAGCTGCATTGTTTACATTGTTTACAGAAGATTTGCAAAATTTTAAATATCCTGATGTGTAATTAAGATAAACTAAAATTTCTTTTGACGGGTTGTATGCTAATAATTTGCAAAACTTTCTTTGCAAAACTTGTGCAATACGTTTCCTTATGTCAAAAGCTTTCAAAAAAGCTAGCTAAAAATTATCAAAATCTGACAACTGAAAGTGGGTCAAAACAAAGATTTTGTTTGTTACAATTGAAAAAGTAGTCATTCAGGCACTGTGCCTGAAGACTTAGGCAGTAAGTATAAAAACCCGGGAGGGCTATGGGTATTTAGGAAAAGTCAGAAAATTTCAACAGCCTCAGACGAAGACTTTTTGAATTATGTAAAAAAAGATACAGCAGGGGGTCAATTTCCCCCCCCCCCCTAGAGGAATAGGGTTGAGAAACTGCTTTTTTAAATTTAATGTAAATTAATAGCTCTGAAATATGATCTTAAATTTGATCTTTAAAATGTTGAGAATACGACATTATAAAAAAAAATCTCTTACATATATGTATTTATATATCTGGGATTCACTGTAGACAATCTAATTTTGATTCGTGTAAAACATACCAGAATCTATTACAATTCAGAGCACCTGTAAAAAATAATAATGATAAAAATAATAGTAATTATTACCTCAAAACAATGCTATTTTAAGTAACATATCTGTTTATAATTCTTTAAATATAGTCATTAAAAATCACACAATTTCAACAGTAATAGTGTCAAAAATGAGAGTTCTAGGACAAACAGACTAAAACGCCCCCCACCCCGTCCCCCCCCTGTTTAATATAAAACATTTTTTTACTTAATATGTCAGCGGACCTATTTTATTTTAGAATGTAAAAAAGAATGTAGCTGAACAATTTATTTGAATTCAGTGTTGACAGTAATGGTAATGAAACACTCCTGTAAATATTATTAATATATAAAGTATTACATTTTTTAATTTCTCTTGGTTGAGTTGAAAGTATGAAAAAAGTTTAAAGCACAATATGGTCTTAATTTCCCGAGCAACACTATTATTATTATTTATAGAGCACTCTTAACTTTTCAGATAATTCAAACTTTTCCGAGGAAGAGAGTCCGCAGAAACCTGTTTCTAAAACCAGTGTTGGAGAACTTAAATTTGGTCTGTTAGCTCCTGAACAGATAGACCTGTATTCAGATGCACTAAATGTTTATGCAAATTTGTTATATAACGGCCAGAAACTGCAGGTGAGTGCTTCAATACAATTTATTATTTTATTATATTCAAATTTGCCAATATATTGTAAAACTCTGGCTTCAAAGCAGAATCCAATGTTTGAAATTCAAATATTTCGATGCAAGGAAGGTGAAAGGGGAGCCTAACTGTTTCTATCAAATATTTTGTATAGGAAAATAATCTGAATTAGTGGCGCTTCGCGTCTCTGTTTTAAGATTGCAAATTAATCATGAATTTATGTTCAGAAAAGATGCGAAGTACTAAAGCACGGAGTGTACACCTTTTGCGAGGAACCAGTTAGTTTTGGTCAGCTTGAATCTCCAAAAGATTGCGCGCCAAATTTGATTTGTGAATTATGTCGTCTTCCAGTTCGAGGATTTTCCTGTATCTGCCCTTTGTGCGAGCACGGAGGCCATGCTGGTCATTGGATGGAATGGTTTCGAGGAAGGGATGTTTGTCCAACAGGTTGTGGATGTCATTGCTTCCAATACATGTCATAAATTTATTCTGTTGCGAGGTTTTCTCCTTTTCTTTTTACCTCAACCGTTCTTCCATTTTTAATTATATTATTACGTTTTCTTCAAATCCCTTTCTCTGAAGATTTGTTTAGAATTTGGACCAGCATAGTTTGAGCTTTAATAAAATGGAATTTTGAATTCTATAGAAATGCAATAAAATAGCAATGAATTAATATAATCATAATTTATAGAAAATAAATAAAATTTACAATTAGAAAATCTTTTATGTCTATTTTGTATACAAATTGTATTCTATTCAATTGTTTATATATAAAATTATGTCACATTTCCGATAGTTTTTCATACCTTAAATATGCTAGAGACAAAAATATGATATTTGAAAAGCTCTTTTTGATTTATCATTAACTGGCCTTGAAACTGAAGAGATTATGGTCTTATTTCTTAGTTTCATGGTTAACTGGCCTGACGAGCGGGGGAAGGCAGGCGGCCATGAGCCACAACTATTTCCCCTTCCGTGCCACATATTAGCTTTTTTATCTTCCAGCAGCCATGAGCCACCGCTGTTTCCCCTTCCGTACCACCACATTTGACTCTTCCGGGTAAAACTACTTTTTTAAATGGTATATTTAGGGCCTTTAAAGTGTGATTTTAAAAAAATCCAGCCGCGTCACCCAAAAAGCACAACTCAAACCTTTTTTTTCAATTCTAATTAAGATTAATATTTTGTGTGTTGAATTCTTGAACTGTTTTACAATGATATTTTTGACAAATTTGACTGAGTATTACAAATTGAAATATCACAAAGTCTAATGATTATTCAATTACTAAATCCATCATAAAATCACTCATTAACCAACTTAGTGATATTTCAAAAAAGCTAATATGTGGCACGGAAGGGGAAATAGTGGTGGCTCATGGTGCCTTCCCCCGCTTGCCTGACAGAGCTCTTCATTTATTTATTTCAATATGCAATAATATATTTACACAATTATAATACATTTAACGTTAAAGACCAAAGGTGAATAGTTTTCTGGTCTCATTAAAATACAGTGATAACCAGTAAACTCTGAAATAGGAAGACGACATTTAGGTTCAAGTTATAAATTTAAAAAGTCCAATGAGTTCAGTAAACAGTATGCAGTGAAAACAGACACATTTCACTTAATTAGTGATGTTATAAGTGTTTAGTTAATCTATTTGCTTTGTAACAACATCAAATACAAGTATTGATATAAAGTCGTCTTCCTATTCCAGAGTATTCTAGTTATCACTGTATTACTTTTTGGGAATCCCATATATGATATGACAGCAAGTAATGACAATATAGAAATATATAGATCTGATTATGATTATAATAGTTGTAGAAGCCATGAAAATCTAATAATGAATAAATCCCTATTTATTAGTTAATAAACTTGGTTTTGTACAAATATGAATATGTTTACCTTAAGATAAATAGATTCTAATAAGCTTGGTACTGTTTGTGCACAAACAAATATAGAAGATTTGCATAGATTTAGTTTACTGCTGAATACAACAGAAAGGAACAAGAGCATTAATCTTAAACAACATGAACATACAAATAGAGAATAGAGGGAAGGGAAGGGGGGGGGGCTACGATTAATGAAACATCATAATATAAAGATATGAATAATAATCTAAGAACATGCAATTTTTCTTCTAGATTAGGAAATTCTAATAAATATTTATAAATGCTGTTATTCTTTTTATTTTTATTCAGTAAATTCATCTTGAGGTGGATACGTGGTTAGAAAGGGATGTCCATAAAACTCTGATTTGATTTGCCATGATTTTTAAAACCATTTGAAAAGTTGAGTTATGTCTATTTTAAATATTTTTATTGTAATTCTTTCAAACCATGCTTCAGACATATATCACTAAAATAAACTTCCTAAGAAAATTGGAAAAACAACTTTGGCTTTTGGAAACATTTCTCTTTTCTGGGTAAGTTTTGTCAGTACTGAGATTGGCTGATGTTGTAAAGATATCTTTTATTGTTGGGACTTCATCGTAATCTTAATACTGATTTTTTTAAATTATGCATTTAAGGGAATTTTCAGTAACATTTTTGTAAGAGTTACATATGCGTAAACTGTCCCAGATTGACATTTTTATCTGAAATCAGTGCTATTGATTTTTTTTAATTTTTAATTTTTGTTCTTCTTTCTTTAAAAGAGATGAAATATGTCAAATACCTTCCGTTTCTATTATTTTTGAAGAGAGCACACTATCGAAAATTCAAAAAGTTTTAGATAGAGAGCAAGAATATTTAAATAATTTTTTCTCACAACAGGTTTTCTATCAGGCTTTTGTAATTTAGAGCCACTTGAAGTTACGTTGGCAGTCCCTTTAATCTTCATGGTTTACAGATCTACTCTATTATACTAGAAGAACATAATAAATGATGATCCTAGTTTGTTTACTAACATTTATTAACTATTTTGTCAATATAATACACCAGGATATATTCAACAATAAATACAATATACACTTTACCATATCGTACTTAATAGCAAGGTACAAATACTCAAAGTAGGGGGAACAGTGTTTGTGTACATATTTGGCTGTTGCGTATTTGAATTGCAAGTTATAATTTGAACAACGATAGTGATTTAAAGGTTGCAACCTGTCACGTAAAAGTGTCGATAAGAATTTTGTCAATAACTTGTTAAAACTAAAGCGATAAACAAGTGCTATATAGTTCTAGTATGTACACGTCTAAGGCTACAAAAATGTATAAGTGAGATAGTGAGTGAACATTAAAAACCAATGCGTTGCGACCCAGTCTTGAAACCTGGTGCACATTTTCAGAAAAGTCTAGCTCTTTTTGGGTGATCTTGTTTACTAAATTGTTATTTTTTACCTTAAACAGCAAATCCCATCAAAATAAACAACAGTTAAATGTATACAAGCCCTACTCCCCCATACCTTAGTATGCCTTGCTCCAGATGAGGTATGGTAAACAGAAGACACACATTTAAACAAAATTTCCTTTACTATTTATGTAAGACATAGGAAATAGTGAAATGTGTTTTTTGTGATAAAAGTGTGAATAAAGGAAAGACATAAATGTACATTTTATCGGTCCCAGTTTATATGTACAGTGTTTTGTACATGTGTGAGATGTGATGGAGCGTACACTACAGTTCTGTTCAACCCGTACCTAACAAATACAATCAGCTATATATAAATAATCACGACTATAATAAATTTACCATGTATTTAGCATGTACGATAAAGTATAACTATTAATTACACAATAGTTTCTATAAAAGATAGTACCTACCTATTATACGCCTTTTCTTTTCCTTTGTCTCTGATGTATAAATTCTCCTAAAATAAAAATTAATTAACCAATGACTGGCTGAGAATGATATGAACTAATTGAATTCAACTACTGATATTAGAAGACTTTAAATGTTTTATATAGGGAGTGTTCGCGAAAAATGAAAGGCTTACGTCAAAAAATAATTGCTTTTAATCGCTACTAATCTTACTTCTATCTATTGCGTGTATAAGAAAAAAATTATCAAAAACGACTTATACTGAAGAACGTAGCGTCTATACAAATTCAGAATTTTGCATAGTTAATATTTCATAATATTTTTTATTCGTTTTGTATAAAAAGCACTTAAATTTTGTATACAAAGCTCTAAAATATTTTTAAAAGATGCTATTGATAAGCCTGGTAAACTGAACATTGAACCATCCAGGTTTTTTTCATGTGGATTGACCTAATGCATTTTTATTTTATGATATTTTATTAAAATATGTTTATTTCTCTAACCTGATATTTCAGCATAACAGAAGACATTAGTTTTCCGTGCTCAGCGAATCCTGATACAATATTTAATTATGAAATGCCGTATATTTTTTATATATTGTATATATATTATTAAAAAAGGGATCATTGTTTTGCCTCAAACTCAAATTTTGTAATCCTTACATCTTTACATTTTATATTTTAAACAGACTATGCATTATATCTGGCAAATTAGAAAATTGTTTGATGCAAAAACTCTATTTCGGGTCCGTCCTAGAGAACGATTTTTGGACCCCCCCCCCAGGCTCCCCCGCCACCTGCCCTCCTATCAATTTTGTATATAACCACTAACTTTCAGCAAAATTATTATTATTTATCATTTATCATTTTAAGTTTAGGTTAGGTTAAGATCCCTTTAACTCAGATTTGTATTTTCATACCTTGCTCTGAACTAGAATTCATCGTTTGCGAGGCAGAACTAAAAAAAAAAAAACACATCAAGGAGAGAAAAATACAATAAATGATTTATATTTTTCATCTCATTATGTTCAATTAGAATTGTTTTCCGAAAACTAGGGAATAATTGAACAGAAAAGAAGATAATCAAGAAAAGCATCTCAGAAAAACAACAAGTTTAGAATGTTATTATTTGTTGAACAATTCTTCTAAAACATTGAAAAATTATTTTATTTTATTTGTTGAATTCTTTATTTTATAAAGGAATTGAGTCTTTGCAACAAATCCCAATTTTCTAATACCTATATATCTACAACCAAATTATGTAAACCTTAGATATTGGGTTGTTAAGATATAGGGATTTAAAACCAGAGTTTGTGGCAAAGACTCAATTCCTTTGTTTTCTAGATCGAAACATTAGTTTTTAGGGTAGCATTGAGAATCGGACATGTCACTCTTTAAATGGAGAGTTACTTATATTACGTCGACGACAATTCCTTCCATAAAGGACAAGTTGTTAAAAAAAAACAGATTTTTGCCACCAAACTATGAATTCTATTGGATCAAATAGTCGAAGTTTGAAATATTAAAGGTTACAACATCAAGTTGCCAAGATAAAGATTGGAAAATTTGAGTTTGTGGCAAGAACTCCACTGTCCACTGTCCACTGTCCACTGTCCACTGTCCACTGTCCACTGTCCACTGTCCACTGTCCACTGTCCACTGTCCACTGTCCACTGTCCAGATTTTCACTTACTAAAGGTTTGATAATTTCAAAATATCTAACTGTCGTGGTCTATTTCTAAAAATGCTATATTATATCTCTATGGATCGCGCATAAAAAGACCAATCTTTGCACATTTAGAATTAGAAGATAAAAGACAACCTTCCGGTAGGTTCTAAACACTAATGTTAATTGGGACATCCTGTGTATATTATATATATATATACTATTGATCAGATATCTATATATATAAAGTTGTAACCTCTTGTTGTCTTTCTTTCTGTTTTTTGTCCTATCATAACATTTTGATTGGGGAACTCGGGAGACCCATGGGAGTGGTCTTAGCTTGATATTCTAGTTTAAGTTGGTCGACTTTAAGAACAAAAATTTAGTTTCCATGTAAAATTGTTCAAGTGCGGGTAAACGTGCGGGAGTGTTTTTAGTAAACTTGGCAGTGCTGGGTTCCCAAGCTAGTATACATATATATACTAGCTGAAGTGCCCGACGTTGCCCGTGAAATTAAGAAATTAGAATTTTGAAAGAAAAAATTTCAAATTTTTTAAAGCTATAATACCTTCGATTCCCTCCAAAAAAAAAGCCAAATTGGTCGAGCCATTAGGCCATATTGTTAATATATATAATACTGAGTACCCACCCTTTCCTTTATACTTTTTTTAAAATGTACACTGTACAGTGTACATCCATCTATTTATTTACAATTCTTATTCGCTTATAATGGGCCAACCAATCAAAACAACCAACTCTGGTTAGGTGGGTCCAAACTACATAGTAAATTGTGATTTATTATTTGTATTATCTCTTGCTTTGTAGTTGAATAAAAATATGAAGTATGAATATATATAATATATATATATATATATATATTAAGAGTTTTATTTCATAAATATTGCACCAAACTGTTTCGCCGAATTCCTTTGAGAAAGAATAAATATTCTCCAGAATTAGAGAAAATTATTCTATCTAAGAAAGTCTAGATTTAATTAAACAGAAATAGAAGGATTTCACTGGAACGGAAGTACTTGTAATTTAAAATGAAAATACGAGTAAAAGCCGTAAATCAGTTAAAATGTCAATCAAATTCATTGTGAACAATTCAAAACTATGCAAAAATAATATTTTGATTAGTACCCGAAAACTCTCTTTTTTTATAGTAGAACAGGTGTTTTCTTTAACCAATCAAAAGCGACCAGCAATATATTGCATCGGTAAGACTCGAGCTAGCCAGCCACAGATTCCATTATTCAAAAATAATCTGAAGTTTGATCAATTTTTGGAACTTGCTGTTATCAATTTGTACCAGTTACAGTTAAGAGGGCAATTTCTTACAGTTACAGTTTAGAGGTCAATTTCTTACAGTTACAGTTTAGAGGTCAATTTCTTAAAGTTACAGTTTAGAGGTGTTTCATAAAAAATTCACTTTACCAAGGACACAAATGTTTTGAATTTCTGAATAATAACCGCATACAAACTTTGAAACACTAAACCTTAGATATTTCAAACTTAAATTGTTTTAACCAAATAATCTAATATTAAAGGTTAACACAATCAGGTTGCAAAGAAAACTTTAGTTTGGTTTAAGCATACTACCACATGTGAGAGCGGATTATTTTTTATTCAGTTACCCCAAGGGTGCAGATACATAACATTTTTTTAAAGGATTTTATGTCGGTATTAATGTCAGTAAAGTGGCGATAACTTATTTCACTATTTTTAAGTTACATTTTTGTTGATTATTTGACTGATCCATATCATAAAATGTATTTACAAGTTTCAAAGTGTTTGCATTTATTTACAGAATTAAAGTTCTAAATGTTAAAGGAAGTGTTCGCGAAAAATGAAAGGGGGTATAGGCTTAATGCGATAAAAAAAACGCTTTTGATCGCTACTAATCTTAGTTCTATCTGTTGCGTCTATAAGGAGTAAATTGTAAAAGACGTCTCATACCGAATAAATTGGGGTTATTGGAACATACGAGTACGACTTAGACCGTAAAAAATCAATTTAATTTCAAACAAATCTTTCAGATATTACAACCTTATAGTCATCGATTATCTTTCGCCACATTTGTATATAGTTTAAATTTTATATATTTTTTTTATTAATTTGATTATTTCTCTTGTCGCTTGCGCAACTATCTAAGAATGCCGCGCACCACTCACATTTTTCGAAGTCCGATAAAACGTTTTATAAAAAAAATAAAATATTGCGTCTATAAGGAGAAAACTGTTATTGAAGATATTTTACCTTGTTTTAAATTTCCTGCTGCGCCTGCGTTGTTGTTTATTAAACTCTTCTCTCCAATTTCCTTCAGCTCCCTTCACAACAAACAAATCTTTGTCAACAAACATTTTTACATCTTTTTCAAATTTAAATTTTAAAATCTTTTTAAACAAACATTTTAAAATCATTTCAACAAACATTTTTTAAATGTTTAAAATTAAACTCAAGACTGTTGAGTTTAATGCATAGATTTAAAATTAATTGTTGAATTACTACTGCTCTCCACATCAACCTAATTATTTTCATCTTCTACCATTTCTCCGCTTAATCCAACACATTATCTCTAATTCATTTTCCCTCGAGATATCTATCGAAATCCCCCCCCCTTCACTTTATTTTACTTTATTTTCTCTAATGTATAAACTCCTACGAACTAAATGCTCGCAACAAACTCAAATTTTTAAGTCTCCACAACTTTGAAACCTGATGATGTAACCCATTGATATTTAAAAAAAAGTTTTATCAACAGTTAAAAATATCAAAAGTCTACATTAGGTTTTCCCTCTGGTGGTTCAACTTTTTTTTTTGCATAAAACGGGTTGGCTCCCTTCCCCACCTCACTCAACTCAAATCTAAGAAAAACTTTTTTAACTTTAAAATCTTTGAAACTTTTCTCATCAGGCTTTCAAACAAATCCATGAATATATTTCGGTAGGAAACTCAACTCAAACATATCTTATGTATTTTAGATCTGATTTCATCGGAGGGAAACACTCAACCTGATTATTTAATGGGACTGTTCAGATAAATTGGTGGCAATTGTGGTACCAAATCTAGTTATAATCATAATTATATCACTTGTTATAAGATGTCCATCCTACCAGTCTATATATACCTCTCTTTTCATCTCGTTGGATCCCCCCTTCCCATTTTTTCAAATTTTAACTTTTAATTTAAATTTAAATTGATTTGAGTTTTTCTTTGGTGTTTTTTTGAAAACTTTGATTTTGTCATCTAGCCAATTCTTTTTTGCATTCGCCTCAATATGCTTAGACTCCATTTATTTTGTTGCACATTTGTTAATTGTTCTATATTCGAATTAGGGTTTCCACGAAATGGCTAAATCGTTTGCGCTATTTTTGCGTATGAAACGCAATGAGTTTTGCGCTATTTTTTGCGCAAAACCGGAAATATTTTTTGCGAAAGTTGCGCGTGAAACGAACTTATATTTTTGCGCATTTTTTTGCGCAATTTGCGCAAAACCGCAAGTTTTACGCAAAATGTAACTTTTTAGGCAAATTGTCAAAAATTTATATTCTAAGCTTAGAATTAAACAACTGAAGATTTATTCCATACATAAAAAAAATATTAACATAAGAGTATGATAACGATTATACTACACTCAATTGGTTACTTCCAGTTACAAAAAGTTTAAATTAAGGGACCAAAATTAATAAAATAGAAATTAGAGAGTGTGAAACTTGGCAATATTTTAATCCTATTAAATAATTTCAAGTGACCCTTAAAAGCTTTGCCTAATTAAGTATGAATTATATTCTTAAATTTTTTTAATCAAATTTCTTAAATCTTTTTAATCTCATATAAAATAATGCAAGAGAGTAACCAATGCCTGAAGAATCCACTTTTAGGAAATATGCATGTCCAAAACTAAAATTGTCGAGAATTTTACTGGACAATCTGTTGCGGATTTTGGTACAAAACCTTCCAGCACTGAAGGAATTGAATTCTAAGAAACACATACCGTCACCAACCGTTTGATTTTTACGAAATTGCGGAAATGTGCAAAACTCAGAACTCTATAGTTGCAGAATTGCGCAAAACTTGAGTTTCGCGAAAGCGGAATAGGGCAATTTTGCGCGAAATGACTTTTGCGAATTATTGCGCAAATTGTTATTAATCAAAGCAAGATTAATTTTGCGTTTCGTTCCGCAAAAATTGCGCAAAAGTTTTGCGAATGGAAACCCTAATTCGAATATATTTGTTAATTGTTCTATATTCGAATATATTTGTTAATTGTTCTATATTCGAATCGGCGAATCAGCGTCTAGCAGATTTACATTGTTGTCTAATGTCTAAATTTTATAATATTTTTGATTCAACTAGTTTAGATATTTTAATACTTTTTTCGTTTAAAAAAGTTTAATGAGAAGAAGAATGATTATCTCGGATTTAGGGTTATCCTCAAATAAGGAAACTTTAACCCTATAAAGGCTGGGGGGTCTGAATTTTTGTTTAGCATGGGAGGGGGGGACGTCCCAGATCCCCCTTAGAACAAGGCTATAGAGAATAGGGAAAGGGTTGAAAGGTATGTTCAAAGCCCAATTTTTCACAGCCAGCTCATTAAAAACAGAAATCAATAGTTTGAGTGTTAACAGCTAAAGAGGGTTGAAAAAAGGCTAATTAAAGTGTAAACAAAATGTAGTTTTCTTTTAAAAAAACAAATATCAAAGTGTGACTGTGACACATGTTTCTACATCCATTAGTCAAGAGCTTTTCAAAAATATAGCTTTCAGATCTGTATGTGCTATTTTAGATTTTTTTTAACACGGACCGGACTTTTTACTGTTCACCCTACCATATGCAGTAAAATAAAATTACAAAAAATCTTTTAAATTTCTGTTTATTAAAAGTAAAAAAATCACGGTGATAGTGTCAAAAATGAGAGTGCAAGGGGGGAATAACTGTTTAGCCTGATGATTAGGATTAAAAAACTGTAAACATATTTATTTGTTACAATCCTTGAAAAAGGATCAAATTGATTCAGTGCAATGGAACCCTTTAACCTTTGTCTGAGGAAAAATGAAAATTTCCTCTTTATCTTAATTTCTGCTACAATTTCTACATGACCAATGAAACATTAGTTTTTGTTTTTGTTTGTCTGATAGCCGCCTGATCCGAATGGGCTGACATTTTTTGAGGGAACCTATGAGTGCCCGAGGAGTAACATAGGCAAAAAAGTTCAGCAATTTTTGTTTTTTAAATCAAATTTTTTTTTTTAAAATATATTTTTATTTCGATCAAATTTATTTTCACGGGCTATGCCGGGAATTTCAGCTAGTCTAAATTAAACTATAAGAAACTATAAACAGTGGAATAAAAATTTTCTTTGTAATTTTAATATGAATTAATAAAAATGATTATGGGTCCTTTTTTTAAAAACAGTACCTGCAGTTCAGACTGCACAGTTGTACAATATATAATTACAAAACATAGATGTTTTTAAAATATACGGACACCTCTCTAATACCCAAAACAGTCCCTTTATCAGAAACGAGCTCAAAAGGAAAAGCCAGCCAGAAAATATCTCAACTTAGGCAAACTCAAACAACTTCAGTAGTGAACAAAACTCAGTAAATCTTAGAACAGGAATCGCCTCAAACTCTAATCTTCCAAAATCTAAAGTGCAAGACCTCATAGTCTAAAAACACACAGCAACTTCCTTTCTACTACAGTCTATATATCTTATCCTGAGTTTACTCTCTAGAGTCTATGAATAGCTGATAACTATACTAGGTTCACTCCCTATAAGCTAGGAATATAGATGGTACTATACTGTTTATTTAGTCAAAGCATACAGTTTAAATACAGGTTATCCATGTTATAGACTACAAGTTATAATAAGTGTATTTTGGTTATTACACGCTAAAAAGACTATAGAAACATCAAGCAGTAGTAAATATTATTGTGAAGAAAAATATCCCCTGGAACAAGTAGGAAATAAGTTGGTAAAGTCAAGTTTTAAAATCCGTACTCAAAACTTGTCTGGCGGTCCTACGCTGTAACCTCCCCACCCATACTGGTTGAATTCAAGGTCTAGGCTAAAACTTCCCGGTATACACCTAAATCCTTACATCCCCCTCAAGTTTTTATTTTGACTCCCCTCCAAAATATAAAACTTCCCCTCAGGAAAAAGAAAATCCCCATTTCAAAGAAATCTGCGTCCTGATTGTGCTTGGAAAGATACAGTTGGAGCTGGAGTAGGTAAAAGAGGGGCGGACGTTTACGCCTTGGTCTCTGCCTTGGGCACTTGCAATGGAAGTTCTTCAACCCAATGTCTCCTCCTCTTCATCTTCTGCAGTGTTTCATTGGCTCCACAACAAGTAGTCAAAACTATGGCCAGGGCCATTGCAGGTCCTCCTTGTAGATATGCCATCACCATGACGGATACATGGACAATCATCCGAACTGCCATAATCACCAGTACTAAGGCAGCGAGGTAGTCCCCATACTCCCGGATCGCTTTATCTACTCGTGAGAAGATGTTTAGCTCCTCATAGCTCTTGGTTAATCCGGTCAGGTCATATCTCGTTATGGAGTCACTGACTCCGGCCACACAGGAATCTGTCTCCACACAACTCCCTATGGTTACCGACTTCAGCAAAGCCTTGTGGTAGGACGGGTATTCTAGGATTTGCTCCCACTCTCTCTGCTCCGCCTCTGTGTAGGGTCCACTAACAGACATGTCAAGATGGTCCACAGAGTTATCTTCTTCCAGTGCTCCGGCGCTGCTACTGGTACAAGCGAAGGCGTAACAGCTACCCAAGTATTATTTGCCACTTTAATCGTCAGGGGAAACTTACTGGAGCAAGGCAGCTGTGTAGCATGCTGGGTACAAAGCCAGGTAGTAGGATCTACCCATACTTGTAGTTGGACAGCTCTGCAATCGCTCCTCGTTTTTGTACACACGACAGTACAAATAACACATCTCCTCTCCTGTAAGCATACTGTCCGTTGGGTAACCTCTGCGGTATCTCTTCAGAAATGGCCACCTGCTGTTGACAGACTGTGGTTGTTAACATCTCCTGAACTGACTGCATCCGTTTCTCAAGCTTGTAGGCTAGGTAGTCTTCCCTCACTCGTTCCTGGATGGTGATGTGGAGATCTGTTGGATGCAAAGTTCCCCAGCTAACCACATCCAACAACTCAGCTGCAAAAAGCTCCGGATAGTTGGTGGATAATAACTTCACACCGCCACACTCCTGTGGTGCCATTGTCACTCCAGTAACATTGAGTAAAATGGCTTTCTTCTCATGTACTAGGTAAGAACCCATCACCCGTGTCCCGGTGAACACTTGTATCTTCTCAAATGAACATGTAGGGGTGTAGCTTTAGATGAAGGTCCCAACTCCTGTCTC